TTTTGTAGAGAGCTGTCGATGCGGATATGAATGTGGTCATTGCAGATGTCCGGCGGGTTGTGCATTTCGTAGGCGACGAAACGTCGTGGATGGAGATTGTTAGCCAGCATGCCCATATCGGGAGCTTCACAGTTTCTGTCCAGAACATTCCACGCCTTGTAACACCCTCGCTAGATCAACAGGCACCGCAGAGATAGACAGTCGGGTGTGGTCTGGGAGTCGTTAGGTCGACTTCTGTGCGGTTGAGACCACGTTGATGCCGAGGTTGGAGCCCACAGAATCGCAGTCAGGGCAGGGTGAAAATAAAGCTGCCCAGCAAGGGTTATGTGTGCTCCCCGACGTGAGTAAACAGTGCACGCGCGTGAAATATGATTGGTTTGGGTCGGCCAGGATCCTCGATATCAGGTCGACGTTACTGCAGTTTCCTACTGTCCTGGTAGATGCCAAAAAGTGCCAAATTATTACCAATAGTCATTAGTGGCCACGGACGGTGTGTCATACACCGGCAACACCCTTCTAATAATTAAACAGCAGGTATTCTGACAGATTTGCATGACTCAGCTAAACCAAGTCGTGAGAACCTCAGCGGTCTCGATGAGATTCAAACCCACGACAGCATGCGTTGGGCCTGCGTACATCCAACACTCTAACCATCTGGGTTATCGGAGCCCGGTAGGGAGCCGTGAGTCTAATCCCAGGTTCGTCAAGCCAACCGCCTAGTCTACAGCAGCGCATGGCATTCACCAGTTCGGATGCAGTATGCTGACTACTCAAACAGGATTTTCCAATTAATTGAACAATCTGGTATTCACCAGATGACTGCCAGGCTCACTGAATTCATTAGTGTTTTGACGGATTTGCATAAGTTACTAATGAGGAACGTACAGTAATCGAGACAGTTGATGTATACAACCAAAAGCCAACAGTTTGACGAAACTGCTATTACGTCTGAACGACGACAACATGAAGACAGTTTGCAAGATACACGTGATGAACACCATTTTCCGGGTCTCGCCATATGCCAATAACTGATCGGCTCTGTAGTACCCTACCAGTTCGCAGAATATCGGTCACTTATCCCCATTTAATGCAACGAATGCGATGTACTAACGCAAACAAAGGCAAATGAAAACCACGCTGGCTGAAGGCGTGCTGAATGACCTTTAAATTCGGCAAAGTTTATCCATGCTCCTGCATCCCGAAACACTTGTTAGACTGCGGAAATACTGTAAGCAGAATGATAGGTTTCCCAGTGCATATTTTTATCCAAAGGGCTCTAACAGTGCGCTTTGCCGAAGCAGCTTACATCTAGAGACTGAAAGCAAATTTGAACGAACTGTTACATACAAAGCGTGCACTCAAACAGACACTGTACTTAAGGACCCACAAACATTATCCGGTCTTAATTTATTTCCGGCTACTGCAAAGTCCTTTTGAAACCAGCTGTTGCCAAATACCGTGGCATTCCCCAAACGGGCCGGGTTTAGTGCTGTAGTTTAAGTTTACGAAAAGGGCTGCATGCATGGATACGGTTAGGGCCAGGTCTAAGAAAGAGAGAAGGGTTAAGGTTGGGAATTGGGGCCAAGGTTTTCTGTCGCATACCGCCTTATCCAACCCAGCCTTCACTAACCACTAACCTTAGATTATTTATTTTCCACCTGTTTGCACCTCTTTCATGCTTTGTGGTCTGTTGCAACACTTTGTTGGAGTAATAAAACAAACATACGGCAATGGGTTTCGGGATATCATGCTGGCAACACGGGTACTAGCCGAAAGCTCAGACATGTGTTTCACAGATGTTCCGTCGCT